GACCCATCAGCTGTATCAGCTTTTGCCTTTTTTTCTCTATACTATTATACCTAACCTGACCTCAGAGCATACTCGTAGTATATTATTGTAAAAAAAAAAATTCTCTATTATGGTTTCGTTTTCCGACTCATGTTACCAATATCTTGACCAATACGATGAATACACATTTTTTTCTAAACGTCGTTTTCTTTTCTAATCTTTTTCACGGCTGTTTTAAACGATATACTGAAGGTATTGAGATTTTGTAATTTTTTTTTCTCGCTATTTTCTTCGTTTATTGTAACACATTACGATATGATTCGTGTTAACATAATTATTATCATTTTTTTTTTTTTTAAATTAATTTTACCCCAAGTTATTTACAAGACGTATTGGATTATTCGTCGTGTTTAAAATTATATTGTATTATATTTTTTATTTCAAAAAATTTGTTTCCGTTTACAAACGTAAACAAACGTTTATCCCGTTATACTATTTTTATAACACACACAACTAAGTGTATAATGAAATACTTGTGGACATTAGCTAATTGAAACATACTATTTACACTAAAAATATAACGTTCAATCGTACATACATTTTTCATTCTGATCCAGGTAAAATATCTCCGGGACAATATAGATTTGAAAAAAAAAAAAATTAATTCAATTTAGGAGCGTATGGATTTGAAGAAAATTTGAGTTTACTAAATTACAGTATTAAGTACAGCACATAAGTGTATAGTTTTTGGTCACGTATGCTTGCACTAATGACCATTAAGTCATAGGCAAACTAAATACAGATTGTGTTTTATAATAACATTTTTTTAATTAAGTAGTTCTTCCGAGAAGAAATACGACCAATATGCCGAGTAGATTTAAATTTCACTTCCATAACATCGTTTTTACAGGCAATGTTCGAACCTGAACATTTAAATTGATAACAGCCCGTGTAATTAATTGCAATGTAATTAACTCAACAAATTCGATCTTTGCTCTCAAACCCCCTTTTACAACATTTTCCACACGTAGGTAATTTACGAAAAAAAAAAAAAAAAAAAACATAAACGATAATACTATTATTATAGGTCACGTTATTGCTTGTGTACTTATTTATTTTAAGTATATTGCCAATTGTGATATTAAGTCTTGAAAAATATGTTTACAATACCTACTGAATACACCCGAGTTCATTATAGGTGTTTTTTGGTTTTTTTTTTTTTTTGTAAATATCTTTATTCGCGAAATGAAACGTGCCAATGGACATAACTATTTAGGGGGCACTAGAAAAAAAAAATTAAAAATTGAAAAGAAGCTCCGTATGCCTACTGCCCTCCCTCACCAAAAATCGAGCACTGATTATAATTCGTCTTCATCGACGAGGTAACCATAGAGAACCACGCGCTTATATTTTATTTGTATTCAATTAATTGTAAAATGTCCGCACTGTTTTCTTCGTTATAAAAATGAATAATTATTCAATTTATTTTTGTCATATTGAAACCAATAGAAAAAAAACAATTATTGCAGAAATTCACAATATTTAATTTCGTTTTAATACCGGTACAGTATTAATAATTACTGAGTGGAGTTTATCCGTTGTCTACTCATTATTCTCGGTGTTCTTTTTAGTTTTTATTATTAATATTAATTAATTTTTTTTTTTTTTTTTTTGATAACTTATAAGCTAATCGTCTTTTACGGAATTCCGTAGGTTTTTTTTAATTGTATTCATTTGAAACGAATACGGCGATAGGTGTTGTGTATTTAATGAATGACTAGAAGGACTATAATTAGATACGTACACGTGTAATAAATTATAATTATAATTGATTGGATTTATCACTGTACTCCGGGTAAGTTGCTGCAATATAATATCGTATAATTGTAGTAACAGTGAAAATCGGAACCGTCGCGTTGTTTGTTAGTACCGCCGTCATGCCAACCGGTGAACCATCACGAACTAAAGATTATTTTAAACGGACATTGTTACGTTTGAGTAGTGTTCCTCAAACGGCGTGACATGGATTCGGTGTACTCTGTGATACGAAATCGTCGGAAAAAAATAAAAGAGAAAAAGAGAACTTTTAATTGTTTAGAATAATATCGTATTATCGTCTTCGTCGTCATCTAACCACCAACACCGTCCGCACGTTATAATATTCACTCCCAATCACTCAATTTTCAACGATACCGCCGTTAGAATTTCCTGTAATTCCAGTGGATCATGCATCGGTAGGGCAACTCGGTGTTTGATCATTGTGGATAAGGGTCACATGAATTAATTAAGGTCGGGATCCACTGCGTCAGAGACACGACAATATTTACGGTTTCGTCGAACTGTTCGAGTTCTATTTAAATCTGTGGTTCCGAACACGCGGTACTATTACTGCCCCCTAGGAGGCATTTCGTTTGCTCGAGGGTTCGGTTTGAACACAAGCGACACGTTCGTTGCACGAACAGTTGCGTTACCTAAACCCAGGGCTAGATTTATGGTGGGCGGAAACGAAATAAGTAATGAACCACTGAAATAATACGCGCCACTGTGAATTGTATTGTTTTCAGTATTTAAAGTAATTATAATTTTGCTGGTAAGTACCTACGTGTATACGTGTATATATATAGGATGATTTTTTGATCATGACCCGGCAGACAATTTATTACTCTTCTCCCTACTCATCCAGTCCACAATGTAAACTTGTATAATTCATCAACGGTAAATCTGATATAAGTGTTACGCATGTAAACATTTCTAGCGAAATATTCTGTAATCAAATCTGTGTTCAAAAGGGAGAGGTGTATTTATTTGAAAATCAAAATGATGTCCTTATTTAAGGTACATATAGTAGGGGTACAAAATTAAAAATGGTTTCGAAATAAAGCTTAAACGATTCCGTAATGATTAGAAAAACAGAAATCGAATTCGCTTAAAATCTTCCGAGATAATTGCAAGTTCATGACGAAACCTTATGTATTTTTCTTAAAAGACTTTTTGAATCGTTATAAAGTTCACATGAACCAAACAAATTATAGCTGATACGAGTTATTTTACAGTTTGGGATGAATATTAAATGTAAGTCAGTTTAATCTTTGATCGTAGTCGGAAAAACAATATCTGCATTTTATAATTATAATTAACATAGGAATAAATATTGTTGAGTAAAGCAAAAACTTTAAGATTGACGAAAATAAAACTAAATATTTATGAAAATATTGACAGATTTATAAAAATTAATAATTTTATTTTCGAAAAAGTGGAAAACTTTGAATACCTTGAACGTGAATGAAAATATAATTAACAGTCATGATAAATATATTGAAGAATTGCTGCTGAATATATAAATGCGTCATTAGATTGACGCAACTTTTTAAATAAAAACTTCTGTTAAAAAAAAACCGTCAAATTTACGCTGCTTGAGAGACATTAATGGAATAATACGATGAAGGAGAAACAATAAAGAGTCCTAAAAAGCTCTTGACTGAGGTGAGCCGGATATGTGTAAAGATCAAAGGGTCGGATGACTAGTACAAATAACGAGAAAGAGACTGGATGGTTAATGAGAGGACATCCTACACGAAGACGGTTGGTCGGACAGAGGAAGGACAGATTAGAGATTGCCGGAAGACTCAAATATTAATGTTAATAACTCGTTCAAATTTAATTCGAAAATAATTCTTACCTCTAAATACACTTAATTTACATTACGATCGTTTTTGTTCGTGTATATTTCGCAATTTCTCTTATCGGGTTGATATATATATATACATGTATATTTTGTAATGTTTGAAAACAAATATTATCGACTATGCAAAAAAATATAATGTACATATAAATAAAAAAATAACCATCCAATGCGTTCGTATGCACAGTTAAAACTGCCGTAATAGTGTGAATTACCGAAATTTATTTGTACTAATTGAAGCCGTTTTAACAAATGGCGTTTACAAAAAAAACATGCTGGAAACAACAAACTCGGTCATTATCACGAGCTATTTATCATATAAATGGAAGTAAAAATAATAAATTATATAGGTAGGTGTACTTACGTATTATTCGTGTTGAATAATGGTTTGAGATGTGTTGTTATGTAAATTGCATAAGGTGTAACTCGTTGATTTTTTTTCCTCTCCGTAATGAAACTCCATCGTCTCTCGGTTTAACAAACAGCACGGCACGTATAAAAAAAAAAAAAGTTCTATACTTATATTATACCGCCAACCGGTCACGTCTTCCAGACGTACACTGCCTAACGTTAACGCTGAAAGATCTAATTGAATTTATTAATCATTAAGACGGTCCCTTTTTAGGTTCTCAAAAGATAGTATATAAGTATGTTAATAGGCGCCAGTTAAAGGCACGGGAATCCGTGATCGGAATTTCACCGCCTTTGTAAAAGGTACCCTATAATAAAGTCCACCTTAAACTCACTCGGCTGATACAAATATAACTAATATATATACGCATGCATATTTAATTAAAACACGAGAAGGAAAATCGACGACAAGCGTCTACACAGGTATTAGTTTATTTTAAATCTATATTATTATTATTATTTTTTTTTTTATTATATCATCTTGAGTTCGATAGAAATTGAAGTGAAAAAAAAAAAAAATATAAGGTTTACCGGTGAAAATCTAATCTAAATCGAATAAAAAAAGCTCTCAGCGTATTTTAGCAGTTTAAACAAGTTTGGAAAATAGTTGGCGGCTTACAATTATTTATCGTTGAATAACAAAAAAACGTTAGGTAGCGAGACCGCGCTTCGATGCACGGTTATTTGAATTATCTTTACAACGCGGGTCGGTGAATCTTTAAACGTAATAACTATTCTGAAAGGTATTACTTTACGTTATGGAAATAAAATAAAAAAAAAAAAAAACGTTCTCAAGGCGAAAATGGAGATATTATGTTATTCTCACGTTTCGATTAAAAAGAAAAAGAGAGAATGAATAAAAAAAAACATAAAAATTCTTAATTAACGTTTAAAACTGTTTTTGCGATAGTATTTCACGGATTGACTTAAACGCTACATTTTATTGCGTAAAATATCGTATTACGAATCACACAAATTTCATGATGAACCTAATTGCTTAAAAGCTTATTGAAAATTTGCATTCGTTTAAAACGAACCTGTCAATATAAACAAAAAAATAAAAGATTATTTTAAATACCTCGAGACCATGGAAAATAGAAAAAATATAATGGTGTTTTGGTTAGGTAATACTAATGTATTGTCTTATCGTTTAAAAACCGCCGTTTTTTCGACAAAAACCAACCGTGTTTGAAATATTCCCGTTTCTCTCTCCGCCGTCGTTGCCTGTGTTAGTAGAAAAAGTTCTGAAATCTAAAATGCAACAAGAGAGCTCTTACCGAAAGTTTTTGATTAGATCAAGTCTTCTGACAGGAAACTTGTTCACAGAGAGAATAAAAAATAAACTAACTCGCATCATAATAAAACCAATGTAACATACATTCCTAGTTCCGCTCAATATCTAAATTAAATTTAAACTTTTTGGACTGCATGTAAAATTCTATATGTTTGATTTGTATACGATTTTATTTTGGGGAATAATAATCATCTATACTGCCACGTTCAGCGGCGGCGCGAACTTTTTTTTATTTTATGAGGCAAACGTGGATGTCAAAGTTTGACCGCCGCCGCTAAGTGTTATTATACGAAGCTCCCGCATATCTCCCCGTCCTTTATTCGTCAATTTACCATTCCGCAAAATACATACACGCTTCAAGTAAATGATGATTTTACATTTTATGAATATCGATCGTTAACAAAATTGGACGCTTCGTATGTTTTAAAAATACGTTGTACCTAATTTTTACTTCGTTATCCGTCAATACACGGGAACACTCGACTAATGAACACAATTCCGAGCAATGTAAAACATATGACATTTAATCGACACAGTTCAGAGGAGTCTGTGGGATTTTTTTTTTTTTTAAATTAATCTACACACCAATATTATTTTGTCTTCCACGTAAAAATTGCGGTTTACTCAACTGTTTGCCGGTTACCTTAACGCTGAATATTTAATACATGCAAATATAATAAATTAACTTAATATAAATACATATTCACTTTATGTTAACAACGATAAACCTTTGATTTAACAACAAAGTGTTATTTATAAAATATCAGTTGGTAATAATTCATATTTTTAACCAGGGGGTACCAACGCCCATCTGGTTTATGAGGCCGTCGCCGCATGAAATACCCTATCACGTCGGCCACTGGCCGTGTTATCCCATTTTACGAATCAATCAAATTATTGATGTACTCAGTAAATACAATATCAAGACACGTTCGTTATTATCGCTCGATAAGGTTTTTGATATCGTCGTAATCAGTGCTAGAGTTGAAAATAGTAAAAATTAAAAGGATTATGCTAACATTTAAAATTTTGTTTTCACGGAGATTTACTCTGTCCATCCCTCTTTCTTGAATTCGTGCAACGGATGCTATAATTCTTACGTTATCTCGTTTTAAAAGTACATTATATACTATTTATATAAAATTAGATTCCTGACACACATTTTTTTTGTTTCCTCTGAATTAAAAGTGGGAATTTCTCAAACAAATTGTCGAAAATCGGTAACTGTTTCTTCGGTTCTTACTGGTGGAAATAGCTTTACTTATGCTCCACTGCGAAAAATATGTAAGAGCTGGTAAGTTTTTATACAGATGCACGGATTTATAATAAATTAAATTGCCATAGCGAAACGGAAACAATTCTTGTTCGAGAGTAATTAATAATTATTAAACGAGAATTTAATGTTGGTTTAGAATATGAAAGGGATATTTCAATACATCAGAAAACTAGAAATTGTCGATGTTAGTTTTATCAAAACTATTGACAAATTATATAAATTTATTTAGATTTGTTTATTATTCTAAGTGTGTAGGTCGGCTCGCTACGACTTTGAGTGGTACGGTGAAGACAGACAACGGCTGTTTATTTACCTACACTCAAATCTAATATTTCTATGCGGGGGATAGTGTCCTAATAAATGTAAACCTATAACTCGTTAGATACGCGAAATCTAGCTGTATAGATTTTGTTTGATAATTGTTTGTATTTTTTTTTAATTTCGGTATAGATTATTGTGTATCAAAAACTTCTTGGAAAAAAATAATTTTTCGTTGACCATTGCTCGTAATTTTAATATACTTATGAAATCGACGGTAGATCGCGTGCTGCTCGTTTATGGCAGACGAAAAAAAAAAAAAAGGTTAAAGAAAGATTTATTTATTAAAAAATGCCAGTTGGCTTTTTTTGTACCCCGATCCAAAGTCTCAATGACGAGCTCAAAAGAATATTCTACGATTTATTTAAGAATTGTAATTATTATTTACTACATGCTCCGTCCCCTTCTTATTGAAAATTCCCCGGCATACCGCTGCTGAAATCGTTTTCATAATTTATTATTTTTTATAAAAGAATAACATAGCATTACGTATTTAACGTGCATATGTTATTATCTTCACGTTTTATATTATAGGACCATTAAAGATAACATAACATTCCCTAGGGCGTAACGCACTACGTATATGTTTATAAGGAAAATAAATAAGAAAAAAATAATTTTACAGAATTTATGGGCCGACGTGTAGCTGGTTTATATTCAAACAAAGTACTAGCTATCGGAAAGTTCGAGTCACGTTTTAATAACGGTATAATTTTCGAGAAGAAGTAAACATAATACTGTATGGTTGTTTTTTTTAACCAATTACTTTTTACGTCGTTGGAAATGGAAAAAAAAAACAAATCTTTTTGAGAAAAACCGATTCTGAACACAGTTTGATCAAACCTTTGTTGATGAAATATTTGAATTTAAAATGTTTATTAATTCTTGAACATACAAAATAAACCACAAACTAATTAGATACACTATATATATAGAAATATATATTATGTACAACTTATGATGATAAACATTGTTTCATATTATTAAGCCTTTTACGAAGCTATAATAATTTAATTTGCCTTAAACTCAAACACAATAATACAATACGATGTCGACTTTCATCAAAATCTCAACCTTGATCACACGAGGTCAACGAACGCGTTAAGCGGGGAACACGATTCTGAAAGCTTGATAAAATGTAAAGTAACCTTTCATGGTATTAGTCGTGTTATACTACGGTAACAGAAAATATCATTAAAAAAAAAAAAAAACCTTTATGAAGTCATTTGCTGTATGGTTTTTTTTAAATAATTCAAAACACGTTTAATAATTTCAAAAACATGTTTCAAATCGAGTAACGCAGGTGCGAATTGCTCGTCTTTAAATTTATGATGTGACCAATTCGGAACGTTTTCACAAATAAAAAAAAAAAAAAAAATTGTTAGTAATACAATATAGCAGATAACAATAGTGTCACTACACTGAAAATCTAAAACGAACTTTTAACGGATCCGTTTCGAACTACTTTTAGCGTGAGTCAGAATAACGTTACGAACTGAAAATATGGAAATCGGTTTTAATAATTATATAATGGTAATATAGAACATCCATCGATAATCGAACTAGACCAGTGAAAGCACAGATCTAATATCAATTGCGTTGTCGTAAAAATGTGTGTTCAATACTGTTTGAGACGTGTTTTAAAGAGTTAATTCTAGTAAACCTTTAACTCATTAAGTAAACAATGCGTTTTTGGCGAGATGGTTCGGTGCACCTGTTTGCTTTGTGAATGCACTTTCCGACCGACTGTTTGCTGGGTTCAGTAAACACATACGAGCGATGTTTACTGTTACGGTTTACTCGTTATCACATTCGAAATTCGACGAAACGATTAATTACAACATTGATAAATATCCTGGACTAGTGGCGGCGGTACGTCGCGATTGCCTGTCTAATATGAATTTATACGCAATGGATTGTGTAACGGCGAACCCATAAGAAAAATTCATAATCCGTAGCCGGACGGTTTTAACAATTAATAAAACACCGTGGACAACGAACTACCGTATAAAGAACGGCGATTGAATTGAATTCGGTGGAATGTATTGCCGAATTCGACAACGAAATGGAAAATTGTCTCCGCTAAATTGTAATACCGTATATTAGCGTTGAATAGCGTGAACAGTAAGATTTAGACAGATGATTGTCAACGTTTCAGAATCAAGGTTCAAAGCGTTAATCGTGCAAAGTCCGTGATGTGCGCACTGGTGGACTGGACGTCGGTGGTGTATCGGCAATTTCATTTCGGGCGGTACGGGATAACACGAAGACAGATATTGCGATTATTGTTATCGCGTAAATGATAAGGGCAAAAGTCACGTGACATTTTCCCGTGCCGCGCGCCAATACCGTACAGCGCGGTATTGAAAAATAACGTTTCAAAATAACCGAAGCATTTGGTAGTTTCAGATCGCGATTTATCCCTAATAAAACACAAAACGTTGACACGTCGTCGAGCGGCCGATACAGGTACGTAATACGTTTTCGTCGTCTCCCGGGAGGCCGTTATTTTTTTACTTGACGCTGCCGCGTCTCACAAAAACCGTCCGCATAATAACGTAATGCGGGCGAGTCGGGTTCACGCGAACACAATGGGCGGACGAAAATTATTTCCGCGCGGTTCGTCTGCGTGTCTTCGCGATTCCGAATCGACGTCACAAGCAGCGCGTAACATTATCTCGTTCCGCCAGAACCGTACGTCTGCCGTGGCCACGGCCACGGTACGCGCCCCGTCCGTGTCCCCGTGCCATCGTCTCTGTCGCTCCGTCCGACCGTACACGCCCGCTCGACAGTCCGCGCACTCCGGCCAAATATCGCGAAATATACACCGCGACCGTTCGTAAAAAAACCATAGTAATTTCAGTAGTAGATTTCGCGTAAAAGACGAGGCACCCGAATGGTTTATCGGATTCCGACACCGGCGAAACAGGTAATTATATACCCCCCGCGGTGCGTACGGGGTGATCAAGCAAAAAGTACACGTTTCGCATGCACCCAAACGGTGTCGAGTACGTATTATTATTGGGTTTTTTTTTTTTTTTCTGCGGAGACTCGGTAACAGTTCGGTAAATTTAAACGAAATTCTCGATCATACTTGCGTGTATCGGTTATATCTGATATTACGTCGATTCATTGGCTTGTACGATTCCGAAGTTATAGTAAAACTTGTGAATCGATTTTACCGGTTTATAGCCAGTCAGCGTAAGTTATCGCGGATCGACTCACTGATTAAATAAAAAAAAAAACCCCGGGGTAACCGGGGCAAC